AGGTGATTTGTTTTCTGTGTTTTATATTAGGAAAATGTTCTGCCCTCCACTTTAAAGAATAAATATTGAGGACAGAGGAGGTAAGATTGTGCCATATGGAAAAGGAGTAGGGTGTCCACGCCAGTTAAGAGAAAGTATTGTACCTGGAGGAAGATGGTTAAAGGAGACTTATCTCATGTTGAAAACTATTAGTAGAGACTAAGTATAGTTGATAAACTCAAAGTTTTCTTTATTAAGGGAAATCAGCAAGTATTTTAAACAAGGTGAATGAATTCATCAGATTATTTTAGACCTGTTACTGGATTTCTTAAAAAACTGGCATGATTTTAGGCTAAGCATATCTTAATGCATATGGTCATTGTAAAATACAGGAAAATTTATTTGCCATGGAAAAGTATTTGCAAAGTCTTGCTATATGAAAGAATAGCATACAAATACCAAATATGTCTTGATATATGTGAATTTGCAAAAGAACTGGAAGTAATTAGAACTATGAAAATAGTTGGTGTTTTAAAGTGAAAGAATTCTTTCTCTAAAGATAAAAAAATACAATAAATTGGAATATCCATCTGCTTCTATTAAGTTCATTCTTTTAATTGGCATAATATGTTTTTTTATTCTATACCCAAAAGTTTTACAACCCCAGCTCACAGGTTAACATTAAATGGAATTATAGTTCACTCTCTGCCACCTTGTTGAATATTCTTGTTTATTCTGAAGGAAACTATTCTCTTGCCTCTGTCACCATAAAATAGACAGTTGCTGCTTACTGCTTTCTGAAATCTTGCCCAGAAGTAAAAATGCCAAGTTAGTGTTTTCAGATTTGTAATTATTAGCACAAACAAACCTAATAAAAATATAAGTCTGATAGCATTTGAGAGCCTTCGAGTTCTTGCATTGTATTACAAATACATGAGTTATATTTTCGTTTAATGTATTTTGAATTGCTATAATGAAAATTAGGAATTCAATTAAGGTTGACTAAAGTTAGTGGTCTTTTTTTCCTTCTCTGCACTTCTGAAAAGAATAAATTACTAGAAAAGTTGAATGAAGGGTTAAGAGGAGGTACTTGAATACTAAAGGTAGTATTTCAATTACTTACATAATTTTGTTTTTGAAGTAAAATTGCGACACCGGTATATGATGCATGTAGGTTTGATATTCTTTGAATGGAAAAAAGTCTTTGGTAATTTGAATTTTTTTAATTTAACAATTTTAGCTTAAAATATTTCTGATTTTTTAAACTGAAAGCTTTTTAAAATTAAAAATTGTATTTAGAGACTTTTTTATTATAATAGCAGTATGAATGTACAATAAAGCCCTTTTGCTAATGTACCCTCAGAACATTCCAGAAACTGTCTTTGGTTGGGGTAGAGGAGAAGTATTCAGAATTTCAGTAAAGATATAACAGTTGCTCCCAAACTACTTTTATTTCTTTTTCAAGCCAACAATGTTCTTTGGCTTCCTATACCTTATTTTTTAATAACAGATAACATCTTTCGCTCCTTCCGGATTTCAGGACCCTCTAATGTACATGAACAACTAAAGATGATTCGGCAGAAAAATTAATGAAGAAAATAATAGTGCAGCATGAAAGGAGACTAACTAAGAATTGAGACATCATCTCTCAGACTTTATCATAAGGTTCAAAAGAAACCTTAAGTATCTGTTATATGTTGTCAGTAAGATGTGAAGCACTGCATTGGGGGTGGCGTAGGCATTGCAGAAAGGGACTAGGAAGAAATAAGAATTGCCTGGAAACTAAAAATATGAAAGTAGAATTTAGAATTATGAAGGCTAACATACAATTAGAAAACACAGTAAAGCAGAGGACAACCTTGAGGAATGTTCCCACGATTCAGGGGGAAAGACTAGAGAGATGTAGGATTTCCCTAAAGAAGAAAGCAGAATAAATGTAACAGAAATTAATTGCAAATAAAGAAGAAAGCTTACCTCATTTATAAAAGGATATGTCTTGAGATTGAGAGTGTTTGTAGGCATATAACTTAGGTTTCACTGCTCGGCACACACGAAATTCAAAGGATAACTGTTTAAATTAGGCCTGAGCTGCACAAAATACATTTTGCCAGCAGGGTTGGAAGAGCACCACAGAGAGAAGCTCATAGCTTTCCCCCATGCCCTGACAGTGAAAGTAGCCTGTGCTCAGTTTCTGCAGTGTCCAGCCATGGTGGGGTCATCACATCTCTGAACTGTCCAGTACGACTTGATGGTTGTTCCTAGCTACATAGTCTCCAAGCCTGGTAGTCTGATAACCTTTAATAAATTCCTTTTCTGCCTAAACCAGCTAGAAGGTGAAAATGCCTCTTGTTAGTGAAGGAAATTATAATATATTTGACTATAAGAAAAATCTTAGAACTCAAAAAAACAAAAATGTATTTATCACAGTTTCTGAATCCTTGCAGTATATGAAGAAGTTACTAAGTTTAATACGCCCATGAGAACATCTGTACAAAAATGTTGTTAGCAGCCTTATTCACAATATCTCCAAACTGAAAACCACCCAAATGTTCACCCACAGAATAATCGATAAACAAACTGCTATATAGTCATCCACTGGAATACTACTCAGCAGTTTGAAAAAGTACAGATTACTGATACAAAACATGTTACCAAAAGAAGTCAGGTGCAAAGACAGAATATATGATTTCATTTGCATGAAGAACCTGCAAAAGTAATCTGTGGTGATGGAAATCAGAAAGTGGTTACCCCAGATGGTAGGGGGTGGGAGCTGACTGGAAAAGGGTACAAGGGGAACTCCACAGGTGATGGAAATGGTCTGTATTTTCTTTTGGATGGTAGTTACATGGGTGTATACAGTTGTCAAAACTCATTGAACAATACAGTCAGCCCTCTGTATCCACAGGTTCCACATTTGCAGATTCAACCAACCCCGAGATCAAAAATAATCAGGAAAATATGTTGTTTTCAATGTGTTCTATATAGTTAGGTCTACAAAGGTTGCATCTGTGCTGAACATGTACAGATTTCTCGTCATTATTCTCTAAACAATATAGTACAACAGCTATTTTCATAGCATTTACATTGTACTATGTATTATAAGTAATCTAGAGATTATTTAAGTTTAGGGGAGGATGTCTGTAAGTTATATGCAAATACACTATTTTATGTAAGAAACTCGAACATACTCAGATTTTGGTATTGGGTATGGGGGTCCTGGAACCAATTCCCTGCAGATATCAAGGGGCGACTGTACTTAAAACCTAAGTATTTTATTCTACGTACATTTTATCTCAATTCAGTAAAATGGATATGATTAAATCAAGAAACAATCACTTGGGAAATTGAATATATATGCTTTTGGGCCCAGACAGGTATAAAAATTGTGTTAATAGATTCTTCTTGCGAAAGTAAGATCATTGCCCATCAAAACTTGAGGGGCGGTAATTAGTGCTGTACCATTAGTAAGTCCATCGCTTTAAACTATTATGCTACGTTTTTTAAAAGAGGAACAAATAAAATAAGCATTTAATTCAAATGTTTAAAAGAATAGCACTAAGGAATATAGACAAAAAAAAAAAAAATAGAAGAGATGAAACAGTATCCCAAAATGGATTTATAAGAAGAAAAAACAGTGAAATACAGACGGAAACCCATTATAGATGATATTTTTATTTGAGAACACTGTTTTTGATTACATAACTTTTTTTAAATTGAGGAAGAAATTTTTAAAGTTACAAAAGAATTGCCTCCTAAAAAACAGTTAGGCCCAGGTGATTCCTCAGGTGAATTATTTCAAATGTTTAAGAGATTGAAAATTCTCATGCTGAACATAAGCTGTTTTGGAACCATTCATTTTGTAAAGTTAATATAATTCTAGTATGAAAACCTAGCATAGAAAGAGAAAACTGTGGAGTCAGTAAAAAGATCATGGTTGCCAGGGATTGGGGGAGGAGGGTAGAAAGGAAGAGGAACATAGAAGATTTTTAGGGCAGTGAAAATAATCCGTATATTATAATGATGCATACATGTCATTATACATTTGTCCAAACCCATAGAATGTATTGTTCCAAGAGTGAACCATAATGTAAACTATGGACTTTGAGTGATTATGATTTGTCAGTATAGATTCATCACTGTAACAAATGGACTGCTTTGGTGGATGATGGTGATAATGGGGCAGAGGGTGGTGCTGTGCATGTGTGTGCGGCAGAAGGTATGTAGGAGATCTCTACCATCCTCTCAGTTTTGCTGAAAACCTAAATTTGCTCTAAAAAAATTAAGTCTTAATAATTTTTAAAACCTGGCAAAGAGAGCTTTAAAAAACTACAAGCAAGTCTCATCCATGTGTGTCATACAAAAACAAAAGAAAATCCCAGTTAAAATAATAGAAAACTGAATTTCACAGTACATTACTAAAAGACTAATGCCCATGAGCAAGTAGGATTTCTCTCAGGAATCCAACTTAGGAAATTAATTAATATATCTAAATCTGTTTATAGCTTAGATAATATGTGATTTCCAAAGTAGATATTTATTCCTTTTTGATAAATAGAACCTTGAAAAGAAATGTAGTTAATTCCTGACTTTGAGAACTGTTTCAGACCCACAGACAACAAACTTTTAACCATGTGGCATTGGTGATAATTACCATTAAAACCTATAGGAGAAGCTAACCTGCCTATTTTTATGCTATGTGGTAAGTGTGGGTCAGTGAATTAGATATCAAATAAGAGAGAGAACTATTGGAAAGAAGGAAAAATATTCTTTTTTGGTAATATAGGATCTACCTAGGAAACCAAGAGTTGTGTCAACTGACTAGATGCAGGAAAAATGCAAAAATAATATGCAGTTTTTGGAAATTATCATCAAATATATTGGAAAGCTATAGTCATTTTTAAGCTAATCCTGGGGCAAGAATAGGTAATCAGAAACACCCTGGTAAAATTTACTCTGAGGCATCATAAATCAGTGAAGAAGAGAAGGATTACTAGATGAGATTAGGGCTTTGAAAATGGCAGGTTTAGATATTTGCTTAACTATTAAAATTCCAAAAAGATTTAAAGAATTTAAATTTTTTTTTCAATTCTAACCATAGAAAATATTAATGAAATTAGAAATATATATCAAACTTTTGAAGAATGAAGGGCTTCTAAGTTTATAAGTACTTGGAAAAATTATAAAAGAAATGACCAGTAAAAATAAATAAAGACGACTGAGTGTTTTTTAAAAACATAAGTGCAGCTAGGAAAAACATTAGCATCAAACATGAGGGACCAAAAAGCAGTGTACAAGCACAGGCTGAGGAGTCAGGCTGCCTGGGTAGGATCCCCACTTGGCTAGGACTTTGGGACAGGTTGCAGTGGTCATGGTTACTTAACCTCTCTGTGCCTCATTTTCCTCATCTATAAAGTGGAGAAAATAATAGAACTTTCCTCATAGGGTGATTGAGAAGATTAACTGATAAATCATTGGCTGGTACACATTAAATGCTCAGTAGATATTAACAGCTAGCCATATTGTAAAGTGACTTACACAAACTCAGAAGAAAAACTGACAACCTCTCCCTCCTCCATAAAGGATGAAAGAAACAAAAAAGAATTGTTGAGCACCAGTGATAATCGTAGTTTTAAATAATTAGATCCAGTGCTGGTGAAAAGGATGTTCACTAGGAGTATGAAGTGGTATAACTTTTAGAAAGAAACTTGTTCCTACATTTTCACTCACTTATTTTACCTCTAAATATATTGTTAAGAAGAAAAAATCCTAAATATGGAAAATAATTATCTACAAAATGATTAAAATTGGTACTTATAATAGTGAAAACTTTGACAATAAATAGCCAATGGTGGAGAAATAGTTAAATAAATTATTATAAATCTACTTGAAATGCTGTACTAAGCATTTGAAAAATTTTGAAGTTTGTAACAACATGGAAAATACAGTTGTTACAAATTTTGAAGTTTGTAACAACATAGAAAATACAGGTGTTAAGTTGAAAAAAGCAGAATATGAATTGCTATATATGATGTTATACCTAAAATTTTTAAAGCATATGTTTAAGAAAAAAAGTGTGTGGAAATATTAACGATAAATGTCTTTGGTGCTGACACTTTGGCCAATTCTTAAAATAATTCTTTGTTTCCCTGTAATTTCTACATTTAATAAGCTTATATTTTACCATAAGAGAAAACATTTTTAAAGTAGCATTATGATTTTAGAAATAGTTTTGTTCGACTCATTTTTATTTTTAGTTTTGATGCCTAAAGCAACAAATTATCTAAGTCTGGCTTATTTCGTAGATAAAGCAATGGTTTTAAAACATCACCCAGACAAACGGAAAGCAGCTGGTGAACCAATAAAAGAAGGAGATAATGACTACTTCACTTGCATAACTAAAGGTAACAAAATATTTTAGAGTCAGAAATATCTAATACTGATGATTGCTTATTAATTGCTGAGGCTAGGTTTCCAGTGTATACCGTAGTCATTTATACCATGACATGTTATAACATTTTTAGTTATAAATGGTTATTTCTTGTAATCTTCTCCAGAGCCTCACTACACAAGGTGAGGTTCTCCCAACCAGCAGCATCAGCAACATCTGGCAGCTTGACAGAAATGCAAAAGTTCAGGCCCCAACCCAGACCTACTAAATGACAATCTGTAGTTTAACGATACTCCAGGTGATTATTATGAGAAGCTAATCCTAGAGTTAATTCACATAAATGTTACATCTAATACTAAGATATTTCTCTATTTCGGATACGTTGTGGGACTAAATTGTTCCTACATGTTTTGCTAATTTAAAATCAAGAGGTCATTTATATTCTGTTGCAGGACCCACAACTGTTTACTGCTGTTCACATAGCCATGTCCTCACTAAGCAAATGAACATAGATAGGTACCACCATTTCTAAGTGTTGCCTTAAATGCATTTTTACATTTTGAAGCTAACTTTTAAGAAGTTGTATGTACACCTTTTAAGCTTATTCTTATTGGTCTTCTCTTACACAGTGCTCAAGACGCCTAAGATCCTAGGATCTTTTACAACCTTGGGATCTAACAGTTAATTTTCTAACAACTTTTTCCTCAGAGTCATGCTGTCTTAAGGGATGAATATACATTGTTTTTGTCATTTGCTTTATAGAAGAGCTACTTAAAGAAGTTAAGTCCAGTTATATCCACTAGTACTAAATCTGTCATTACCTAGAGTTAACCCTCCTCAGCACAAACATTTTTAAATATGAAAAATAATAACTTTTTAAAGTTTTTTTTCTTGTAGGAAAAAAATGTTGAGTCATGGTAATGTGACATTATCATTTTTTCCTCAGCTTATGAAATGTTATCTGATCCAGTGAAAAGACGAGCATTTAACAGTGTAGATCCCACTTTTGATAACTCGGTTCCTTCTAAAAGTGAAGCAAAGGACAATTTCTTTGAAGTATTTTCTCCTGTGTTTGAAAGGAATTCCAGGTGAGTTGACGCATCCGCTTGTAATTGTTACGCTCTGTTGGCTTGCTTCTTGTAGTCCTCAGGTTTCTGCTTTTTTTCTCTGATATTTTGTTCTTTACAATACTGAGCCACTCTGGAGAACTCACTCCCTTCATTTATTTTTCTCTAAACAGAAGTTCTACCTTTCCATAGTGAAATTCCTGTATAACTTATAGGATGTTTTTCTTTTAATTTCCTTTAGGGCAAAGAACTGACTTTATGTAGTATGATACTGACACTTAGGTGACAGTAATTTCCCATGATTTTGCTTCTCCTTTATTTTTAATGGTACACTACTCTATTTGCACCTTTATTATTTGGGAAAAGCTTTTGTTCTATTTTTTGAGCATCTGCTTATCATAAGGATTTCTGACAAAAGGAAGATTTATTTTTAAGATTAAAGCAAATGTGATTTATTTTATTTAAATCAGTTTATAAATAGGCTATACCAGTATTCTACATTTTTTGTTTTCATCTGCATTGAAAGGTTTTTATAGAGCACATCTTGGCTGCACATTGGACTCACGTGGAGAATGTGATAATTCCTGATGCCTGGGTTCCACCTGAAGAGATTGAGTTAATTGTGATTTCAATTTAATTGGTTTAGAATGCCTGTAGGATTTTTATTGCTCCCAGGTGATTCTTATGTGCAGCCAAATTTGGAAACCACTGTGATTAGAGGTTTGGTGCAGTCTTAATATACCTTACACCCTTTCCTCAACATTTGTTTTGTAACAATGCTGAAGGTGGTAAAAATAATATATTTTGCTGTGGAATGGTTTCATAGAGTGAAAAATGGGTCAGTAAACAGCCTTAGGATCCTTTTAGAAGGTGGTGGGTGAAGTGCTGAACCTAAAATTCTGACTCTTAGGCAGAAGGTAGTGGTGATAAGGGGGTAGAAATCTCTTCTCCACTGTATTAACATTTTTTAAAAGGCTGGACTTAGAGCTTGCTTCTGTACTTTCTGTTTAGGGGCAAGAGTAAGTAAGCTTGGAAAAGGGAGCTTAGTGCCTGTTTTTCCTAGCCAGACTGGCAGCTGCTATGCTACAACCCTGTAGTTTATAGAACTGGAGATAACCTGATGGTCAGAATACTTCCATTTTTTTCTCTCCCGCCTTGTCCACCGTAGTCCTCTGTTTATTGTACCTATATTGTTCAATATAACACTGCTGATCTTCCAGCTCTATCTCTTATTTATTGAGGATCTAGGAGAGGGATATTGTAGGGTATTAGTAAAAACTCGATTTTAATTAATTTGTTGAACTTCTCTATACCAAAATTTTTAATTGAATTTTTCTTTCTTTTAATATATCAGATGGTCAAATAAAAAAAATGTCCCTAAACTTGGTGATATGAATTCATCATTTGAAGATGTAGATGCATTTTATTCTTTCTGGTAAGTGAATACACTGATTTTATAATACTGTCATTTTTTTTAAAGGATATATATTCAGTAAGTACTTGATTGACTTCATAAATTAATTGAGGGATAGGAGACTTGCAGAACCTCACTGAACAAAAGCACTCTTTTCAGGAATTAATAATTAGGTTTTTACATAATTTTGTATTACCTCCTATGTGATAGTTAGGCTTTATGATTGTTTTCTCAATCTGTTTTCTGTTAATTAGATTTCTAGATACCAAGCACACTAGCGGTAAAAGAAAATTGAGGAGTCATTTGTGTTGAATAAAAATAAATACATCCTCATTTAGCTGTCTTCCTATTAAAAGTACTTGAGTACATGAGGAGAAAGTGTGCTCTTTGTCTTTATAACTAATTCCTTAATTTTTAATAAACACAATATTCAGGGGCCACTATATTATATGTACTATATTTTCTCATCAAGTATCTGGTAAATTTAAACATAAAATCACTGTACAACAAAAATGATAAAATTTAGCCCTCAGTTGTAGTTGCTTTAACCGTCAGAGGATACAAACCAGAGATAAAATAACCACTACTAGGGTTCCCGTAAGACATGACAGACTAGTGAAGGTGAAGGCAGGGAAAACGTTAACAAGTCCTGGCAAGAGAGAAACCTAACAGGGTAGCAGGGAGGTGCGATTTTGACTAGGGGAAATGATAAGTATATTTTAGATTGTCACACCAAATACAATGTCATAAAAAAAAGAAAGACTTGAGCATAGTGTTAGTTCAATACCAAAAGGGAGTGGAGGGACCTATTAAGACAAACTCATCTTCTTGCCATTACTGTTTGTTAAAATTATGTACCGCAAGTTAATTTTAAAGAGTTTGTTCATTTTTTTTTTGTTTGATTTTATTTTATTTCTGTCTATAGGTATAATTTTGATTCTTGGAGAGAATTTTCTTATTTAGATGAAGAAGAAAAAGAAAAAGCAGAATGGTATGTATATAAATCATTAATAAAGTAAGATATTTATTTGGCTCTTTGGTATTTGTGATGATGTAAAAAATACTACATATATTTTCTTTCATATATTTTTTCTGTGTATCCTTTTTAAATGAGTTTTTGATATTTTGACAACCACCCCCTCCATCCACCCCCCGCCCTTGCCTCACAAATTAAGCTAGGTGAGGCCAGATCAGTAGTCAATTATGATATGCTTAAGAAAATGCCAAGGAATAGAATTGTAAAAAAAAACCTCAGTTCAACAAATTCTTTTTCTTCTAGTTGCTTAACCTACGTTTTATTTTAGTTTTCCCTGTGTAGGTAAGGAAGTTTCTTTGACATAAGTGTTTCAAAAATATTAACTGAAATTAATGCTTGCTAGAATCACACTTTTATGTTAATACTGGCATAGATTATAACCTTCTCAGACATTTTTTTACATATAAATTTATTAAGTATTACACTTTTCAGTCATATTATCTGTGAGCAGTATTGTATCTGCAGTATTTTCTATTTTATAGTCGTGATGAGAGGAGATGGATTGAAAAGCAGAACAGAGCAACAAGGGCACAAAGAAAAAAGGAAGAAATGAACAGAATAAGAACATTAGTTGGTAAATATAATTGATTTTTTAAAGTTCTTTAATTAAACATTAGAAATTCAAAAGATTAACTTTGTTTTTGGTAGACAATGCATATAGCTGTGATCCAAGAATAAAAAAATTTAAGGAAGAAGAAAAGGCCAAGAAAGAAGCAGAAAAGAAAGCAAAAGCAGAAGCAAAACGGAAGGAGCAAGAAGCTAAAGAAAAAGTAAGATGACATTTGATGAAGTTGGACTTTAAATGTTCATAAAATCTTTACACTTCAGATCTATTTTAAAAAACTATAATCTGAAAGAGAATTAGGTGCTACTATGAATAAATCATGACAAGTTGGTACAATTGATAGAAGGATCTTCCTTACCAGCATATTTTTGTTTTACCAAAAAATGATGTCATACATTTCTTTAATACCATATTTATTTCTAATATGTCCCTTTTACATTTCTAATGTTTGTAGAACTTTACCAGCTGCTTTTCAACCTTTAGTATTCAATAAGTTGATGTGTCACCTTTTTTCTAATTTAATTTATTAAAAGATTGCATTTTTAAAATAAGATTGTAGATTGAAACTAATAATAAAATAAGATTGTAGAGCATTTAGGAACTCTAATTTTCTTATTGAAATGATTTTATTCCCCATTATCAAAGCAAAGACAAGCTGAATTAGAAGCTGCTCGATTAGCTAAAGAGAAAGAAGAAGAGGAAGTTAGACAACAAGCATTACTGGCAAAGAAGGAAAAAGATATCCAGAAAAAAGCCATTAAAAAGGAAAGGCAAAAACTTCGAAACTCATGCAAGGTACATCAGACTTTGATTGGACAAACTAGATAACAAGTAAATCAGTTGCTGATTAAACTTAAAAAATATTTGTTTTCATGTACCATGCAAATATAATTAAACTGTTATACACATTTTATCTCAAAATGTAAATGTTTTTAAGTTCACTTTTTAAAAATTTCACACACATATATTTCAGAACATAACTTGATTTCTTTTTAATCACATTTTTTGATTACAGTTTGCATGTGATAAATATTAGTTTCAGGTATACAACATGGTAGACAGTTATTTATCTTACAAAGTGATAACCCCAATAAATCTAGTACCCATCTGACACCATACCTAATTATTACATTATCATTGACTATATTCTTTATGCTATACTTTCATTATACCATGACTATTTTGTAACTACCAAAATGTAGTTCTTAATCTCTTCCTCTTTTTCACCCACCTAACCTCCCACCTGGCAACCATCAAAATGTTCTGTGTCTACAAGTTTCTTTCTATTCCCGTTCTTAGATTCCACATGTAAGTGAAATCATGTGGCATTTATCTTTTTCTGACTTATTCTGCTCAGCACAATACATCTAGGTCCATCCATGTTGTTGCAGATGGCAAGATTTCATGCTTTTTTCTATGGCTGACTAATATTTTATTGCATGTATGTACCACCTCTTTATCCATTCATCCATTGATGGTCACCCTGGTTGCCTCCATCACTTGGCTATTGTAAATAATGCTGTAATGAATATATAAATGCGCATGTCCCTTTGAAGTAGTGTTTTGGGTTTCTTCAGATAAATACCCAGAAGTATTATTACTAGGTCCTTCTTTGTCTCTTGTTATAGCCTTTGCTTTAAAGTCTATTTTGTCTAGTATTAGTATTGCTACCCAGCTTTTTTGTTGCTGTTTCCATTTTCATGAAATATCTTTTCCATCCCTTTACTTTCAGTCTGCCTGTGTCTTTCGATCTGAAGTGAGTATGTAAAGGTTTTCTTTTCTTATGCATTCAGCCACCCTATGTCTTTTGATTGGAGCATTAAATCCATTTAGATTTAAAGTTATTGTTGATAGATATGTAGTTATTGACATTTTATTATTCATATTTTTTATTTTATTTTTTCCCCCTTAAAGAAGTCCCTTTAAGATTTCTTGTCTGGAAAGCTCTTTATCTGTCCTTCAATTCTAAATGATACCTTTGCTGGATAGAGTAATCCTAATTGTAGGTTCTTGCTTTTCATCACTTTAAAAATTTCATGCCAATCCCTTCTAGCCTGCAAAGTTTCTTTTGAGAAGTCAGCTGACAATCTTATGGGTGCTCCCTTGTAGGTGACTAATTGCTTTTCTCTTGCTACTTTTAAGATTCTCTTTCTCTTTAACCTTTGACATTTTAATTATGATGTGTCTTGGTGTGGGCCTGTTTGAGTTCATCTGTTTGGGACTCTGCCTTTCCTGGGCTTTTATGTCTGTTTCCTTCACCAGATTAGGTAAGTTTTTCGTCATTATTTCTTCAAATAGGTTTGCAATTACTTGGTGTCTCTGTTCTCCTTCTGGTACCCCTATGATGCGAATATTGGTACACTTGATGTTGTCCCAGAAGCCCCTTAAACTAGTCTCATTATTTTCGATTTTTTTTGTTGTTGCTGTTCTGATTGGGTGTTTTTTGCTATCTTTCCTTCTAAATCGCTAATTTGATCTTCTGCTTTATCTGTTGAGTTCCCTCTAATATATTCTTTTAGTTATTTTTCATTTCCAACTTTTAAAAAATGTTTTCTACCTCCATTTTTGTTTTCTCTTCGTTAAAATTCTCTGAGTTCATCTACTTTTCCCCTAAATTAATTGAGCATCCTTATAACCAGTGTTTTGAACTCTGCATCTGGTAGACTGCTTGTCTCCGTTTTATTTAGTTCTTTTTCTCGAGCTTTGTTCTGTTCTTTCATTTGGACATGTTTCTCTGTCTCCCCATTTTGGCTGCCTCTCTGTTTGTTACGATATATTAGATAGGGCTACTATGTCTACTGGTTTTAGTAAGTGGCCTTATATAGTAGGTGTTCTATGGGGCCCAGTGGCACAGTCTTCCCTAGTCACCTGAGCCAGGTGCTCCAGGTGTGTCCCTTGTATGGGTTGTTTTTGCCCTCCTGTTGTAGTTGCCCTTCATTGCTGTTTGCACATCAGTGGGAGGGATTGCTCATCATGCTGATTGGTTGTGAGGACCGGCAGGTGAGGGGCTGACCCTATTGAGCAGGATTCGCTTTAGCAGAGCTCTGATGACTGCCCAATTGTCCCTTTGGGTGTGTCATCCTTGGATACAGGCCTGAATGGTTCTCTGGCTTGGTGATGGCCAGTCACAGGGCGTACCAGCCCTCGCGCCTCCTGAGAGAGGCCTCACTGCAGGCCAAGTTCAGCCGTAGCCTGTGCCCTGCCCGGGGCCACCTGTCAAAAGTCAAGCAATCCACAGATGGCTGCCACCCATTCTGGGCTTAGCCATGCCTTGAGAGGCCAAGCTGTGAACCGAGACCAGCTGCCACCAGTGTTGGGCTTGGGGCTGCTCAGCAAGAGGTATGAGACACGCCAAGGCCAGATGCTACTTCTTTGGGTTTTATGAACCTTTGAGAGATTTTAGGAAAGTCCACAGCATAAGCCAAGACAGGTCATTTGTATGGAAAAGCCACTGTAAGTGGCTTGTGTGGGCCTGCAAGTTGGGAAGGGTAGGGTCTCAGGGAATCACCAGAGCAGGGCAACCAGGTTTAGCCACGTTGATGGAGACTCATATGGCTGCACGCTGGGAGGGAGGAGGACTCAACAAGGGAGTGTTGGCTTCTGCCAGCATTTCTATCTGGAAGAAAGCTGCCCCTCTGACCTCACCCAGAAGCTTGACAATTCAGTTCCTCTCTGTATGTCCCTGGTGCCTTTCTGGCTGCTGCCTCAGCACTGGAGTTCAGAGTGAGTCATCACTAAGTATGCCCACATGTAGGCCCTTAAGAGAAATGTCTGCGACTCCAGCCACCCTTCAACTCATTCAGCTGCAATCTCTGCTGGTTTTCACAGCCAGAATTTGTGAGGACTTCTCTTCCCAGCCCTGAAACCCTGTGCTGGGGAGCCTGGTGTGGGGCTGGAACCCCTCACTCCTCCGGGGAGACCTTCGCAGCTGAGATATTTCTCCCAATTCTCAGCCGCCACACACTGATGTGGGACCAGCCCATTCTACGTCTCTGCCTCTCCTACCAGTCTGGAGGTGGCCTCTTTTTTGTGTCCCCAGTTGTAGGACTTCTGTTCAGCTAGACTTCAGGCAACTCCCAACGATGGCTATTCTGTAGTTAGTTGTAATTTTAATGTGGTCATGATAGGAAGCAAGCACAGAGTTTTCCCACATTACCATCTCAACCAGAACTATACGACTCAGATGTTTTTAAACATAACCATCATGCCATTTTCAAACCTAGAAAAACCTAATATTCTGATACTTGGTCCATACTCATATCTCATTATCTTAGCAATGTCTTTTTATAGTTGATTTTTTTCAAATTAGGATGTAAATAAGATCATTTCAAAGGCTTCAGTTATGTGTCTACTAATTGTGTCTGTCACTGGTTCCCTATCATCATCTTTTCCCCATTCATTTGTTGAAGGAACCAGATCATTTGTTCTGATACTGTGCCACAATTTGGTTTTGATTGGTTGCTACCTTAATGGTGTAAAATTAATTCTTATCTTAAAAAAAGTTCTTTTAGAAGTTAAACATGGGCTATTTTTAAGAATATAAAAGGCTTATTTTTATATTAGATAAAGGGATAACATTTGGTTGAGTAATGCTAGTTTGCATTAAAAAACAGTTTCCACCAAAAAAATATTGACCAAAAAACCCAAAAGTTTTCAGATGTAGTTTTGTCCAGGGGATATTCTTACATTTTAAACTGGAAGAGCCAAAGACTAGTATTGTTCCTTATCAAATAGCATTGAAGGAATAAATTAATGAAATTCCAAGCAATAGTAAAGATTGCCACACAGTATTGTGTGCTATATACCATTGTAGTTAAATTCAGCAAGTATGTAAATACACACTGTGTTTAGAAAAATTCTTTCATGTGACTGTCCAGAGGCTTTATACATTAGTATATATATCCTAATATATGCCATCCTAAGTTGTTGGTTAATAATATAATTGAAATTAACCATCAGCGGGCTTTGGAAGAGTTTTAATAAAAGTACAAATACAGGTTGTCGCTTCAGGCTTTGGGTAAGCAAGAATAAAATATGAATAGAAAAAAATGAAATATTTTTCTTCTTTTCACCTAGAACATTGTTTTGAGAAGGATGCAGTATATCGTACTTGTAAAGAGCATTGGCTTAGGGCAGGCTGCTTGGGTTTGAAGTCATTCTTTACCTACTTACTATCTGTGGCCCTCAGGAGATTGCCTAAACCCCTTTTGTGCCTCAATTTCTTTAATACAATGGCTGAAATAATATTTAGTAAACAGAGATGTAAAGATTAAATGGCATATAATGAGAAATAAAAGTTTAAGGCCAATTAGAATTTAGAAAGCTTGACTAGTTCTCAGAAATGATGCATAAATGAGGGTAAGAGTTTTGGCATTTAGTAATTTTGTTTTATTGCTCTTTTCTACCATGAGTTCATTTGTTCATTCATCATATATCTGATGAGCATTTACTATGTGCCAAGCAGTTATAACTGATGTGGATATAATGATGACATAGTCCTTGCCTTGAAGGAATCCACTGGTTAATGATGAGGAATGACAGACAGCTATTTTAAACATTTTAAGATGAGAACTAGGATGAGAAGGTACCAAAAAGTTTGTTGGGGAAGGCTTTCTGGATCTAATAGGATTTAGCCAGGTGAAGCAGTATGTGTACGGGATTAGCAATGAGAGATATCAAGGAGCATTGAGAGAATGCAGAAATCCAGAGGAGTGGGATTTAATAAGCCATTGGCAGCTGAAGAGGTAAGGAGGAACCAGGTCTTGAAGGATAGTATATGTCTTATTAATTTAAATCTGATTCTAAGTTGGTTTTGATCAGAATGCTGAGAGGAGACTAGAGTTAGGGGAACCAATTAGAAGTCTTTTGCCATAATCTAAGTGAGAGTATTGTCTTGAACTAAGATAGAGATGATGGGAATAGAAAAAGGTAGATGGAACAAATTGACATTTAGGAGGCAGAGTAGGCTGCTTCCTGTTGGGTATCAATTATATGTTTGTGTGGAGGTGTAGTAGAGGAGGAGTGAGGGTTAATATAGGTCCTAGTTTCTTGCCTGGAATACTGGATGAGTGATGGTATATCAATAAAATAGAAAACAAAGGAGAAGGAAAAAGCTGGGAGAAGTGATGATTTCATTTTAGGTAATGCTGATTGCAACGAGACACTCACATGAAGATACCCAGTAGGTAATTGGGTGTACAAGTGTGAAGTTCAAGAGTGGGATCATCCACATCTCAGTAGCACTAAGAACCTTGCAAGTAGATGAGATTGCCCAGGGAGAGGGTAGAGTGAGGAGTTTAGAGGATGAAACTCTGGCAAACGGCAATACTTAAGGTTCTGTTGGAGGAAGAGGAGCCTGAGAAACAGTGACCCAGACTGGTAGGAAGAGACTCAGTAGTGCTTTTGGAAGCCTAGGGAGGTATCAACAGTAAAAGAAGCATTGGAACCTTAATGAGAGCCAGATTGCATGAATTAAGCAAAGAAAAGTGAGGGAGACATAAGTGCCAGCATCAGCTTAAAGACACATGGAAAGTACTTTCCAATTCTTTTATATGTACGTACATCACAATATTCTTTTCTAAGCATAATCTTTAGTTAATAGAATATTTCTAATACCTACTACTCCTTAACACATTCTTTTTCTTTAATTTCACATTTAAAATTTCCATTAAATTATACATGCACACACTAGATAAAACAGGCAGCCTAACAAAGGGATTTTAATTCGCATCATCATATAGAATTTGATTTTTAAATGGTTCTCAGAGGAATCATTCTGACTTTTATAACATCCAGAGATCTTCCATATCATCACCTTTTTTGTTTTGTTCTCCCACCCTCTTGGTCAGGGAGAGCCCTGGGAGGCAACCTGGAAGTGTGGCTGTTGATGGTCAGAAGCCTGTATGTTCACATCAAGAACCTCTTGAGAACTTCATATTTTGTAATTATGTATTTATTTTTGAGAGTCAGTAGTTATAAGATGAAAATGTTTGTTTGTACTTCTAGACCTGGAATCACTTTTCTGACAATGAGGCAGAGCGGGTTAAAATGATGGAAGAAGTGGAAAAACTTTGTGATCGCCTCGAACTAGCAAGGTAAAACTATAGAACTGCTAATGAAGTTTTCTCTTGGGCTTAGGAAAAAGTTTCATCCCATTTTTCCCCTTAGTTTACAGTGCTTGAATGAAACACTCACATCATCTACAAAAGAAGTAGGGAAGGCTGCTCTGGAAAAACAGGTAATATAGAACAATACATCACTTCTACCTGTACTTAGCATTTAATTCTGCTTATAGTATTGCTTTCACCTCAGTATTTCCCCACCTAACATATAAGTTACTATAAGAGCAGAGCGTCTCATTTCTCTTTGGGTCCCCCATTCTGCTTTGCTTTAGTAAGTGCTATTATTGATTTAATGGATTTGGTGTGTATGGTTGTTACCATGTATAGTTTGATTTGTGGTAGCCTACCACATTAATCATAGTTGTTGTTGTTTTTAAATCATTCTTAGAAAAAATAATTGGTTTAATTATTCCTTGAGCATTTTTGTAGGATAACAACATTCAGAACCAAAAGAGATCTTTGTTCTATCTAGTCTACACCTTTTATTTTACAGATGAGGAAACAGGCCCAGAAATTCAATTCAGTGCAACAAGTATTAGTACCTACTATATATAGTACTATGTGTAGGTGATTTGGAGAAGTGGTTAATGCTATTGCTGCCACAAAGAAGTTCAGGAACAATAATGATGAAGAGAAAAGGCCTATGGACCAAAAGATGGAGGGCCCACAGTAAATTCTGTGGGTTAGACAAGTGCCAACTCCAGTCGAAGTGATCAGGGAAGGGTATGAGCCAGCCTGAAAGGATGGACAGTGTGGAAAATGAAGGTCAAAGGAACAGGTCAAATGAACTATAAAATACAAGTAGCAATAGAAAGTTATGGGGAGAGAAGTTGATTAGGAAAAGTAGTGCCAAATTAAGCAGGTTTTTAAATACTATGTTGACTAGTTTCCATTACTGCAATCTTCAAGTAGGAAAAGGTTAATATTTATTTATTTAATATTAATGTGGCATTGGTAGGCAAGATGTATTAGGTAAATGTAACGAGTTGTAAGAATCTCACTGGAAGTACTTGGACTGTGAGAGTGATGATGGGAATCATTGGAATCACTGGGACTTTGTTCTGAGGGATCGAAGTAGGGAAATGAGTCAATGGTAACTCCAAGATAGTAGCTGACAAAGGTCAAGTAAAGGTTTTTTTTTTTTTTAACTTGTGCATGTTTGAAGGTAGACTGGAAGTGACAATGCAAAAAGTAGAACTTCAGGATAAAATAGAAGCCACTTTGCTATGCCATTATCATTTTGTAGAGAATAAATGAGATTATCTGCTGAAAGAGTGGATATGAGCTTAAAGAGAGGTTTGAAATGGCCTTGTGGGTGAATAACCCAATTACTGGAGACTTAAGAAGTAGTGTCCCAAGGCAAACAGAAGTCACATGGTATAAATATAGTGTAGGTCAGGTTCTTCACGGAGAGGCATGCAGCCCAGAGGCCAGAGAAAGGAAAATAGAGTGAAAAGCCGATGATGGTTTGGGGGTTGGCCTGGCAAGAGTATAGAGTCATTGTCAGGATAATACAGAGTTGAGAACCACAAACCCCAGCCAGAAAGGGAATGTAGAGTAGCAAGATGCGCTAAGTCCCTGTCTTACCTATGATATTTGTGTAGATAGAAGAAATAAATGAGCAAATTAGAAAAGAGAAAGAGGAATCTGAGGCTCGTATGCGACAAGCATCTAAGAATGCAGAGAAATCAACTGGTGGAGGTGGAAATGGCAGTAAAAATTGGTCAGAAGATGATCTACAACTACTGATTAAAGCTGTAAACCTCTTCCCTGCTGGAACAAATTCAAGGTACTGGTTTTAATGAAACTTCAAGACGTACTGGTTTTAATGAAACTTCAATACATACTGGAGCCTGAGGATAATGTAGCCAAGCATCCAGATAACAGTACTAGTTACAGCAGAAACTTCTGGAGATATGGTTGAGTCTAGACAGACTGCCTTCTAGTATGTTCTGTGCCATAATGGGAAGTGTGAAAAGCAGAATGCATTTTGAACCTGCTAGTCTCATCAGCTTATTACACCAACATACACACACACACATATGCACAGCAGAATGCTTCATCAGTTTCTCAGGAAATTAAAGATCATGAGACATAAACCTTGGCTGTTACATTAGCTTATTTCATCATGGCTTGTACTAGGGACTAGATTTTGTTTGCACTCCTAATCCTTCGTTGTTGCTTCCCACCTTCCATCTGAGCTTATTGCAGTTTTGAGTTTAGAACTCAAGCCTTAGAGATTCAGCCTTCCTCGTTCTGTAGATGAGGAAACTAAAGCTGTTTTCAGTCATTTACCTCCTTAAGTATGTGTCCAGATGGTAAAATACACAAATGTGTTTTTATTTGTTGATATGTACACAGTATCTGTAAGGTTTTATACAACCTTGAAACCAAGATTATATAGTTGATTTAAACACATGAAAAGCAAAAACTATAGACAATAGTAATAATTAGAGCACCAATTTACAGCTAACTCTCAATATTATAGCTAACCCTTCTGCATTAAAAATGTAAGGGTCATTCTGGTTTTTGTTTTGGAGGTTCTTTCCTTAATTATCATGTCGATTGCTCTAGATGGGAAGTTATTGCTAATTACATGAACATACATTCTTCTTCTGGAGTTAAGAGAACTGCCAAAGATGTTATTGGCAAAGCAAAAAGTCTTCAAAAACTTGGTGAGTTAGTTTTGCCAAATCAGTTTGTTTGCTACCTTGAATACATACTTCAATCTATGCAATTTAATGAAAGACTAAATGAGATAATCTGTAATATATTTAAATTTTTTCATTTCTCAGACCCTCATCAAAAAGATGACATAAACAAAAAGGCTTTTGATAAATTTAAAAAAGAACATGGAGTGGTCCCTCAAGCAGACAATGCAACACCTTCAGAACGATTTGAAGGTAATTTTTTCTGTGAGTAAAAAATACTAGCCATGTACCACACTGCATGAAGATATACAAGACCTAGAGTCTAAATTCAAAACTATTGAGAAATAAAGTGTTTTGCAGACTGAAAGATGTAAAGGAAGCATTTTCAGGACAGTCATGGGTTTACTTAACACTACTGAGAATTGCAGTTCTTCCATTTCAGATGCTATTAGGGGAGGGGCTGTTTGTTCACCAGATTTTACAAATCAGTGCTAAAAGGTATTGGCACAATTGATATTTGAATAAGGCCTGTAGAGTATATATTAGTATTTTATCAATGTTAATTTTCTGATTTTGAAAAATACATTAAGTATGTAAGAAAATGTTCGTGTTTTTAAGGAAAAATCTATTTCAGAATAAAAAGTTAAAAACAGGGTACTGAGAGTGTCTTGATTGTTGTAATTTAATTGCTCTGGACCTGTGTTTCAAACTGTAAATCATGAACCAGCCTCCTTCATAAATGAGTCATGAAACAGTTAATGGCTCAAGTAGAAAAAATATCAGAGCATTTATACCTATTACATCAGAATTACTTGTGAAAGTTTTGTTCATGTGTGTGTGTATTTGGAGAATGTGACATTTTGAGTTGCTGACAAAGTTTGAAAGTGTTTTCTTTTACTTCGTGCATTTGTTCACCACCAATCCTCTCTCTAAAACTAATCTAATCTTGGATATGCTTTCTAGATCACAGTTCCAAATGTTTGGGGATTAACCATTAGCCTTGACTCTTAAATGATAACCTGTCCTTGTCTTAACAGTTTCATTTTTCCTGTATTGTCTGATTTATTGCCCTAAAATTTCAGTTTGAAAATATGTTGAGACTTTTGATGTTCTACGAAGAGGAAAAAATCATTTTGCTATTGCAGAAATCAGGGGTGACTTTTTCTGTCTAGACTGGGCATTATTTTGGCTCTTTTAAGAAAGATAAGTAACAAAGTGGAAGTTTTAGAACTTCTGGAGGGCAGTTCTTTTTTTAAAGGGTTTCTTTTCCTGCTCCCTTATGTCTTCCACAAAATATCATACAACATTCAGGTATGAGCACTCTTTTCTCAGCCCTTTCTTATAGGACTTGTTTCCACATTGCAGCGAGACATTGATGCTTGAGCAGGCAACCAGTTGTCTATGAGGATAGGTGACCCTATGAGGGTAGGAGTGATTGGCAGTGGTGATATCTGGGCGTGACTCCTTTATCTTTTTGATGGGTTTAATGGACAAGCCAGTCTCTTAATTTGAACCAGAAAACAGCAAGCTAACACCATTTTTTTTGAATAGTTATTTCTGATGGGAATTTTACAACATTACATGTTCCATTTATTTTGATGTTATAACTAACTGGAGAATGGCAGAAAATAAATTATGTCATTTCCAACTTTTTTCCCGAGGAAATTAATTCAATCTATGGTGTTAAATGTGGGCTTCAGACCAATAAAAGGAAATTTCACTAACAACTTCCTGTAACTTAAAAGCTAACTTCAAAAAAAGCTTATCTGCCTTTATATACAAAGTTCTCTGCCTTTTGACTAGGTGTGTGGTATTGTTTACCTGTCACTCGTGTGTGTGTGTAACTAGGAAGTAACTTACATTTCAAGGCTTCCTTTTGTACTAGTCAAAACTACTGTAGGATAGGTGCTACTGCATTTTCACCACATGGTTTGAACCCAACAACCCAACTATAATTTAAACAGAACTGGTGAGTATAATGTTGTAAGAGAGCAGGTATTTCCTATGCTTAAAAAAAGCCTTTGAGATATTTTTTCTGGGATGTGAGCTATCTGCAGATTTTTCTTCCTCTCAATATTTAGACGTTATATATGTGTCTCATCTCTAAAAGTTTGCTCAAAATTACACATCACAGATTTGAATGGGCACTTACCCATATACCAAAAGACTCATCTGGGAAGGTATTCCAGGACATTTTTCTATCAGTTAGGATTCTCAAATAAAAAACTTTTCTTAAACAGGTCCATGCACAGATTTCACCCCTTGGACAACAGAAGAACAGAAGCTTTTGGAACAAGCTTTGAAAACGTACCCAGTAAATACACCTGAAAGATGGGAAAAAATAGCAGAAGCAGTGCCTGGCAGGACAAAGAAGGACTGCATGAAACGATATAAGGTAGATTTTGAGTTTATAGATTTGTGCTTATTTCAATATGACAGTTAGTCATGGGGCCAAAATTACAAAGAAATGGCCAAGCTTAGAAATTAGCAGTTAGTACAATCAGTCTTTTCAGTAGAGTCCTTATGGATTTATCCAATTTGAGTATTTTATGTATTTTCATCAACACTAGGAATGTCTGCCAATTTTGACAACTTAACCACCTTTCTCCCTTTCTAGGAACTTGTCGAGATGGTAAAAGCAAAGAAAGCTGCACAAGAGCAAGTACTGAATGCAAGTAGAACCAAGAAATGACTTATGACAATCTTTGTTGTGTGTGTGTTTTTATAATAAAACTGAAAATAATGTATAAATTTTCATTCTTAAAATTATACTTATGGTGATAATTTGAAAGTATGCTATCCAAGATAATTTCTCAGAGATCTACTGTTCACTTATCCTTCGAAAGTTTGACACAGTATTTCATTCGAATTTCCAAGTATATATGTTCATTTTTATTTTTAGGGGTTGATAGCTTAAAACTTGCCAGTCTGTTAATTTCATAAATATACATGTTCAAAATATTTTGATTAAGAGCATTTTAATCACGAAGCCAGCACATGTTACTGCGAATCCGGTTAAAATCTGGTAGTTGCTCAATGGGACCTAAGGATTAAAAGGAAAGATAGTTAAAACTGACTAAAAGGAAAGTATTTTAGCCAACTTTCTGCATAAGAGAAAAGGATCCAGGCTTACCAACAGCAGCGATAGCTGGACTCTTATCATAAATATATTTGGTACACACTTCTCGAATTGTCTCAGCATTTACAGCCTGAAATAGAGAAGATACTAGCATTCAGAGCTTTTTTTAGTAAAGACAAATTCTATATCTGGAATTTTTTAGAGCAAAATCAGGATTTATGATACCTATTTTGAGCTTTTGTAACAAGAATCTCTTTACACAAGACCCAACAGTATGTAAGAACTACTTACATCAACTCTTGCTTCAAGCTCAGGGATGGGAATTCTTCTATTATAGCATAACATCTGTCTACCAATATCTTCACAAATTGGAGTGGAACCTGTTTAAAGAGAAAGAAAAACTTATTGGAATACAGATCAACCGTATGAAAACAGAATTTATGTCTTTATTCTCACCATCGAGTTGCAGCAACATGTTTGTTTTCAGAAGATTTTTGGCTCGTGCAACTTCACTTTCAGTGACACTTGTACAGAGTCGTATCCTAAAAACCATTTGGAAAAAAAACAAAAGTCAAGTATTTTGAATATATGTGTTTTGAGTTAATGACCTAAAGAAAGATATGATGCTATATTCTACACATTACAGCACGATGGACAAGTGATTATGACTTCACCTTGTAAAAACTTGAAATTAATGATCCCAATAGCTAAGCAAAAGCTAAACTGTTACTGATTATTTTCACAGTATTGTTGATTTCTGAAAAATGATATGACTAGCAGACAGAAGTTCAATACAATATGAAAATAGGCTGACCATATTTTGAGAAATGCTATTATCATTCTTCAACTTCACGAATCCCCATCTGTTAGGATCTGATACACCAGAGGATAAGTCAATGGGTCACTGTTTCTCAAAAGAATCCAACTGAGTTTAACTTAAACCTAATAATTCAACTAATAATTATATCTCAGTCAACCAGCTTTAGAGAGATGTAAGCCATTTAAGAATGGTGGAGGTAAGGAAGTGGTAGAGTTCTCCAAGAAGCTGTGGGCCTTTCTGCCTGTCTCAACGTACTAGTTTTGACTACAAACACTACATTTTTCTTTTAGCAGTGGCAACTTCTGATTCTTTTTCATAACACTGCCTTTCCAAGCCAAATAACTTTTAGAGATATTTTCCAAACTTCTAGTTGGCATTTCATCATTTTTAACTTTTAGGATCTCACTTCTAAAGTAATCTTAAATAACTTACTATAGTATGAATCAGTTCAGCTTCACGTAACTGACTTAAAAGAAATATCTGTGATCTTTCAAAACATGGCAGCCACTGCTCCTTAGTCTTATTCTTTTTAATTAAATGCTAATGACATCACCATCAAAAAATTATCACCATCAATAGTATAAAGAGGAACTAGTCTAAAATGTGAATTCTAGGCAAGATTTAAATTCTCTTCTCACCATTCTTTTTGAACAGTGTGTAGCATGTCTGCAACAGTGGCTGGTTCACAAACCATATAGATGCCCCATAATCCTGTATCTGTGTAGGAGGTGTTGAAAGACTGGAAGCTATGGCAGAGGTTGCCGTGGCAGGTGAGCTGGGCCAGCTTGCTAGATAAGTTCTATAAGGAAAAAATTGTCCAAGAGAATTACAGGTATGTGTCCAAATTACCAGAAAGAAAAATAAGATGTGTAGCAAACAGCAAATGCCCTAAAAGGCTGAATTTCTCAGTTTTAGCCATCAACATCTCAACAATGAAGTTAAAATTCACTGAGATTAAGAATTATCTCACCAGCCCACATACCGAGAAATTCATGATGTAAAAGCAGTGAATCCCTATAATTAATATAGTAGTTGTACCCACTTATAAGACATTGCTGTTATCAACCCAAACTGTAAGGCTCTTGGCTACGTATACTTAAAGATTTGAAACCTAAGATATGAAATGTATTTTGATGAAATCTTTGAGTACAAATCAGACTTACAGAAGTTACAAAAACAGTAAAAAGAATCCCTTTATCCAGACTCCCTAACAACTGTTATATTACCATGTTTGCTTTATCATTCTTTAATGTATTTTTCAACTGTTTATTAAAATTAGGATATTAACATTGACAGTACTATTAAATTCTTCTTATTCATATTTTGCCATCATCCCACTAATAAAGTTTATGGCAAAAGAAAAAAAAATTTTTTCTTGCCAGGGATCAATTTATATTTTAAAAGTCAAAATTCTATCTTGTCCTTATTATGGAAAATCACATTTAAACTCACTTACCATTCCTCCTCCAAAAGAACGATCCCAGTTGCCAATCAGTGTGTTTGCAACCATGAGACAGATTGTATCTGGATGTGCCCAACCAACAGCTTCAACAGCTACTGCAAGGTGTGCCAAAGGCATCTTGTCATCCCTCACTCGAATCTAGTTAGGATAAAAACAAAACTCTAGTTAAGAATATCACTATATAACATGCTTAACAAGAAAGAAACAAATTCACCAGTCCCATTAATTGCAAAGTTAAAACGCTAACCATGACTTATTTTTTAAAATATTAGGCCTCATTACATTGTATAGTCAATCTAGAAGAATTTTCATGAATTAAGGAAATCAGCAAAAGATCTTCCATTAAAATACTGTAGACATAGCCACCCAATAGTTACCTGGTCAAAGGGAATTGCATTATTTCATTGGTAGAAATCAATCTTTTGTGTTTGTTGATCTGAATTTTTCTATCTAAAGTTAAGCTAATATTAACATAATAGGCTTATTTTTGCACTGACAATGCTAGAGTTCTATGCATCTGCCAACATCAGGCCTCTTTCCAGACACTACTTTAAGCATCATTCCTAATGTGGCCAAGTAAGCCTGTAATGAAGCTTAAAAGTATAGCTGACAAGCAGTAGCTCTGACTTGCTGCAAGTTCTGGCTCTAACAGACCCTGCAAAACACTGTGGGCAGAACAACTTAGCCAAGAGTAACCCTGACATGAAAATCAAAACTTGGGGTGTTTTTAAAAATAAAAGATTACTTTTATACTTATATAAATAGGCATATTACCAAAGAAAAGCACAGCATGGCCACATTATAACATTGCCTTTAAAACCTTGCCTTAGGAAAAATGGGTGATTAAATAATATGGACTAGGAAGGAATATAAACAAATGAGTCCATTCTCTTCCTTTTTTTTGTGTTTCAGTTTATGCCTTTGGTTTCTTCATTTTACTTATTAGAAATATGCACATTTTGTACACTCATTCATAAATATAACACAAACTCAAAGGGCTAACTACTATCTTAGAAGGCTTGCCGTACCTCACTTCCTGTGAATTTGCAGGGAGGCAGGGCTGGTATTTCTCCTTTGTGTGTGGACAAAGTGTCACCAAAATGAAACTTCGCTAACTCAAGCAGTTCGTCATGGGAAACTCCTAAATTGAAGGAAAATATTTTATGATACTAGTAGCCGTACAATCTAAAGCAGACAAATAACTGCCAATACTTCAGCTTACAGTAAGCTCAAGGTGATATAATGTGATGAGTTACATATGAATTATTTTCACTCACTAAAATCATTTAAGAGTAAGCTCATATAGCATACTTTTCCCCTTGGTATAAGGCTTGGGGCTGCATGGCTTTTTCATTCTGTAGAGCATTCAACAGTTTTCATCAACATACCAGTGGATTCACAGCTAAGCATAGGAGAGCTTGAAAATACCACACTGCATACAAAATCATGTTATATTAAGTCATTAAAACTAGTAAAAAAAGAAAAGGGGGGGGTGACTTTAGTGGGAAAGAATATAAATTTGAGCCCTAACACTTAAAGTTGGATACATGGATATGATTCATTCTCTCACCTATGCTATCAGAATTCAGGTACAAAATAATTTCATCTAAATTTCTGAATAAATCCATAGCTATCCAAACACTACTTGCCATCCAAAACTTAAGAATTACTTAGATTCTATGTCTCTTACTATCCAAACTCGAGACCCAAAAATTCAGTCAGTGAAGGATCCTTAAACAATTATAAACTTAAAAGACAAATTTAGGTATGTGCAAGTGCTTTAAAAAATATTGCCATGAGATTTCTTTAAATGAAACATTCTATTACAATATAAAAGCACAACTTACACCCATATTTTCCAAACCTGTGGTATAAAACAAGACAGTGTATGCTTGTACATTTTCAGAATCCCTATGTAGGAAAGCCACCTTGGATATCAATCCAAAGGGTGACGAAACAAGAAAGAGCCTGGTGGTAAAGAAGGACAGAGTGAAACACGAACATGCACAACCGTTCTCAGCACCTGGTAATTGCTTCCACTGTTTTCAACACCTTCACCTCCTGGTTGGATGTTCAAGATACTCAGCTCCTGCTCCAACACCACTTCTACTTACCTCTATCCAAAAAGCAGGGGGAAAAAATTTTTTTTAATGAAGCTAGATCTGACCTATTTCACTGAATTTAAAATGCCATTGTTTACAAGGCAAATCATCATTTATGTATCAATAAGACAAAATACTAATTAAAGCCATTAACTATAAGATATCCCAACTTTAGCAATGTCAAAGTGAACTCATGAAATACAAGAAAACTTGTGTCCTTATGCCACCAACAATGGCAGAGACAATTCCAAACAGCTTGGTTGTTGAGGTCCCATCTAACCAAC